CCTCCTGACCACATTCCCGGCGAGCCAGCGGCGGATTCTCCGAATAAACAACTGGAAGAACGAGGAAAGAAACAGACTGCATTTCAGGCTCAGTGACTTCCGTCCACTTTACTAACAGCAACTCTAACATTTGTACTCAACATGTAGGATGGCGAGTACTCGACCATCACGTAGAGGTCATAGTGTAGTCATCTGTTCCCTTTGTCTGCTCCAGAAATGAAAGCGGCGTCTGCAGATGGAAACTGTATGAACGCAGCTTGTTGGTTTAATATGAAACAGTCGTCCTGGTGTATTATGGGTAATGACCTGCTCGTCTGCCAGAATGTGATGTGTGTTGCGTTTGATAGGTGTAAGTCGCAGCCAAGTGAGGAAAAAATAAGAAAATAAGGCATCAGCTTGCAGAATGGTTCAGTAGTTTATTGAGAAAGTAGAGAAAAGGTCAGATTCCTGATGGAGTGCAGCTAATGATCGTTTTCTTTGATCTAAAAAAAAAAAAGTCAAACAATGTAAATCAACAGTTTTTCTGAGCTCAAATTTTTTTGTTCAACCCCAAAACCCAAAGATGTTTTTAGCAATATGAAAAACCGAAACGCTTAACCTATCAAATGTGCAAGTCCAATTAGGCTCATTCAAGCTCTACTGTTTTACTCTTGGACTCGACTAGAGTAGCTTTGCATGATTCACAGTTTAAAATAAGCCTCTTTTAACTCATACAGGCCTTTGTTCAGCCCCTCAATTCGTCCACTGTCCCAAACAAGCTCTTTTAATATTTTACACCAGTGGTTCTTAAACATTTTCAGGCCTGATCCTGTTTTCACCTGTCACTAAATCATTTTTTATCAATTACTAACAACAAACGTAGGGTCTTGATCTAGAGTCAATGCAAGAGCATCAAAAGAAAAAGAAATCAGAGTACCACTGCTTTAAACCTGCTTTCTCCTGGTTGGCTGCCCCTCACAAACAGTAGGTTTGAGCAGGAGGGGGAGGGGCTTTGATCTCACACCCAGAGTGGTGTTGCCTGAGATGACAATAGTAGGGACTTCCCAGCTCACTCACTTAAATATTCACCATTAAGACATTTAACTGCAAGTAAGGATAACAGCTCGACTTTAAAAGATGTGAAGCACCAGTTTGAACCTCAGACGTTGTTTTTTCTTTTGGCAGTTTGGTGTAACAGATTTAGTCGTTAAAGGTCAGAATAAATTTTGCTCCATTTATTATGACATTTAAAAATATAATATTAAACTCAAAAGGAGATTATTCACTGAGCTCGTACACAA